GAAAACTGAGATTTAATTCAAGCAAAAACAAACAATGTGTTCTCTTATATTCACTTTTATCAAAATAACATTTTGTCCAGTTCAGATGGTTTAGCATTTCTGCTGGTCCTTTCACTGAAAAAAAATGGTACATTGTAAAAATCAAATTTATATATGACAATTCAAGCAAACACTATTCTTTCTCAAAAGCTAACTGTGTGTAACCTGTATAATTTCTTAACAAATGAAAATTCTTAACAAACACTCTGCCAAAAAGAATGAAGGCATTATCTATAATGGCAACAATTTTTAGATGAGTTATATATATATAAATACTTTTTGTTTTATAAGTAGAAAAGCTTTTCTATTTTACATTATGAGACCAAACACTTTGTCCTCTAATTCAATGATTTTAGAAAATGAATCAAAAGAACTAAGAAGCCAGAGAAACTCAAAAATTAAGACTGACAATATCCAGATAATCTAATTATGTAACCATAAAATCAACACAACCTTACATGAAGCTACCATTCCTAAACAATTTGAGTGACAAGTGCAAATTGTATCTAGAATTAATGAACATGGTTTTGCAGAATGAATCAGTAGCAGACACCTGGGGGAGAGGGGTCAGTCACCCCCTCCCAATATTTTGGAGAACAATGGTCCTTTGTTCCAAAACAATGGGAAAATGTGAAATCATCGATTATCAAAACAATAGGCTAGTCCTCCCAATATCTGACCAAGTGTTTACCCCTGGAATGAATATTCAATAGACAAAAAGTATTGTATATCTGCAACCTACCCATTTGCAACAATTTACTAGCGCATTTAAGCTGTGATCACTACTTTGATTACAATCAAAATTTTAACAAGTTTGTTAAATGGCTCCTACAAAGATCCACATTGTATAGTAAAAAATTCATCAAAAGGAAAATCAAAAAATGAAAGGTGTGTAGCCTCACCATATGTATTTCATCATCTTAATCTCCTGGCTTCTCTTTCCGATTCCAACAGAGTGAGGACATCCCCTTCCCTTACTGGTCCCTTGACATTTCTGATGATGTTTCTTTCTGACTCATCAAGAAATTCAACACGAACCTGCAGAAACAATTTTTAATACTTGAAAATAATACAGGCAATATTTATGTGAATAGAAAATAAATATTGAAGGTGTATATAGACTACATAAAACTCTGCATAAGGTACACTGGATTGATACTTAAGGTATATTGTTGGTAATGTCCTTTGCTGGCAACTTTGCTTGTTCTGTTGGCATTACCCCCCCCCCCTCACCTGAAAAATGAATTACGGCCACAGAATTGTGAGCCTGACCAACTTAGTACTGTTGGACAATCTTTGCACAACTTATTTTCACATTTTGTATTTCAAAGGGTCAAAGAAACCATCAATTATTCAAGGTTTTTCACAGGTATAATAAAATCTTGGCTTTTTCTAGGGAAAAGATAAATCAATTAACTACTAGAGCTAGGTTGAGATAAAGGAGCACATTTGAGTTCATAGGGTAGAGGGGGTAATAGTGTTAAATCTTTACTTAAAAAGGTCGGCTTTTGACAAGAAGAAAATCACTTTTCATTGCATTAGTAAATGGATAGAATTTAACAAGATTTTCACCTGGATTTTTCTACAGAATGCCTAAAGACAGCTGTTTTATTGGTACAAAAGTTTTTCTATGTTAAAAGGTAATTAAGATAATAGGCTCTAATGAGCTTCTTCTTTGTGAGAAAGAAATTTGAGCAACTCTTTGGAAAGTGTTTTTCAATGCTTTTGGGATATCTACTGAGTCAGTCCATGTCAAACTGCAGGTCATATGTCCCCCACCTTTTAAGATTTGATAAATTCAACTAAATTTATGCATTAACATTGAAAATATCTCATAACAAGGTTTAGATAAAAAGACATTAAAGAGATATAGCTGGTCAATCTTAGGGCAGAATTCACCCAATAATTGCACTAGCTATGATCAGTCAAATTCAAAGTGCTGCGATAGAGTTCTTAAGTGGAAAATGATCACATCTCATCACAAAAAACCTATTTAACAATTTTTAATTTGGATCACATAAAACAAAAGAGCATCATGAAATACCCCTAAATATGCAAAACCAGTAAAAAAGGATTTGATCTTCATTGGCGACTAAGGGGTGAAAGTTTCACAGGGCATGATTTTTGTGGCTAAATATCCTACAAGTTTTCAAACTTCATTTTTCTGTAAAATCTAAAATATATACAAGCACAAACAGTATGAAAAATAAACCTGACCGAACAGTATGGTGATAAAACCAAATCTGAGCTCTAAAGAGTCAAACAATGAAGTTTGGAGTAACTTTCAAAAGGAGGCAGCAAATTTAGTTGGTGGAATAACACATAAATTATCCAGTACTTTTCAGTGCATTATTTCCAGTAGTACTATGTTCAGCAAAGAACCTTTGCTGAAACAATTTACTGGCTTAGCTAGTTGAAAAAATAGAAGCACCAAATCCATTACTTGGTACTGTTATTTTGAAAACAGATAAAGTCTAGGCAAAGTCAAAAAGCAAAATTATTCTAATAACATGAAAGAAAAATTACCTGGGTACATTGTCCCTGGGATCCAGTCCTTCCAAGAATTTTCATAACCTTCAATAAACAGGCAAAAATTAATAAAATTTGTCTCAGCTTGTGGGAGAGGAAGAGCAGAACTCTTGACAACTTCAAGAATTCAGAAATATTGGAGAAATTTTGATCATGACTGTTTTCATCATAAAGAAAATTGTTTGTTGCTAAGGCTGTAAATGCTCAGTCTAAAATAAACTCTGAATATTTTTTGACAGTATTATGATACACTATGCTTTCAAGTTTGTGGCATTTCAAATTTAATGCACAACACAAAACAGTTAACACATAAATATTTTCGGGCTTACAAAATGTTAAAATTAAAAGGCATTTCATACTTCAGAGCTCAATATTTCAAGCCAAAAGAGCAGAAACCAAGCCTGGCAGTTTTAGGAGAGTCATAGCCCTTGCTCCCCTATAGAACCTTAGCGATGCTGGAGGGGAGCTGCAGATTGCTCTCCCAGATTGCTTCAAAAAGCAAATTGCTCAGCTTGAAATCAATTCTTTTTGTGTTTCCTTTGAAATTCATACAAATATCTCACCTATAAATTACTAGGAGAGCTGTTTACTGCTTCCATGGTAAATTTCTAATGGCTAGGCCTGGGCAACTCTTAATTCATAGCAGGAAAAACTTTCGTTTTTGTGAAAAGTATGGTACTTTTTCTTTCAGGGGATGAGCAAATAAATGGTTGCTGATCCCTAGCAGACAATTGTATATATTAATTTTTTGCTTTTGCTTTGAAGAGCTGTTTTCTACTTTTTTGCAAAACAAAAGAGCGAACTCTTTTATTATTTCCACAGCTATGTTCAAATATATCTTAGGACATTTTTTGCCAAGATGACTGAGCCCTGACTGTCACTTGAGACTCTTTTTAAGAGGAATGGTATAATTGTCGGAGTACAAATAGGAATACTCTGCAGTATGGCTTAAGATCCATCAGATATGCAAGTGCTAAAGCCTGGAATGACATTCCATTGAAGATCAAACAGTCTCCCTCAGTAATGATTTTCCGTCGCAAAATGAAACTAAATCTTTTCTCCACTAAGTACCAATCCTGAATTTCATGATAGGACAACTTTCTTTCACTTTGAAGGATCAAGTCAAATAAATATGTTAATTGCAAAGTATTACTGTAATTAATGTTAGTTTATTTCAGATGTATTTGTTGTCATTCATTTGAGTTTTGTATGTTGTGGGATTTTAAAATTAAATAACTGAACTGAACTGTGGGTACTTGTGCACCTTTTAGGTTAGTTTTTTTACAAGCTCTGATGAATGCCGGTTTAGGAGAAAATAAGGAAGCATAATTTTTTCAATTTATAGTTTATTTGAGGTCTCTACAAATTTTCCCTTTTTAATTGTTCAGAACATTCCTGCTGCAAACCTTCTATGCCTTTTAAGCTTTTCTCTAATGTATATAAACTGTTCAAATTTATCCTTTAGATTTGGGTTAACTTGTAGAGATATTCATTTATTCTAGCCTTTGAAAGTTTTCTTACAAACGCTAAACTTAGAATGTTGAAAACAAATTTAGAGAAACTTAATAACTTCCAACTTGCTTTGAATGATAACAGGATGAGAGTTAACACATTGCGATTTTCCTAAGAACCAAAAGGTGGAGTTGAAAACATTGATGATACTAGGCCCATCGGCGTCCCTACATTTTCAGCAATAGGTCACTGTCTAGATGCAACCTATCAATAATTTGAAACGCTAAAGCTTGAAACATAGCACAAATCTATAAACAATAGCGATGCTTTCACTGATACCTTGGCCAATCGTGGTTTATCCATGTTGAAATTATTGGAGAACGTCGACTATTCTGTTCGCGAAGGTAGCGCGTGTTCAAAAGGATTCGGCCATGCGAAGCACAGGGGAATGAGGAGTGCTATATTTCGGATAACGCAGAGACACGCGTTTTACTGCGTGTTCTGCGAGTGATCACTTCTGGGAAATAGCTCATTTTCAAATTTTGCACCACCAAGAATAATTCAAAATAAAGCCAATAAACATTCCACACCTACAATCACTGCAAAAAGTCTTGGAACACTAACGTTAGTTTTCAAAGACAAATTCAGCCACCCCCCTCTCCCCCTAAGAACAATGTTGATTTACTATAGAAAAAAGAAAGGGGTTGTGGAGTACGCTTTTTCGTGTGCCTTGTATGATATTTTTCTATACTTTCAACATTGTTTTGGGGGGGAAAGGGGAACGGATGTAGTTGTATTCGGGAAAACAGATGAAAAATGAAAAAGCAGAGCGCTAAGTGTTGAATTTTCCAAGTAATTTTGGCAGTGATTGTAGGTGATTTTTTTGCAGTTTGCAGTTATTTCGATGTGTGACCAAAATCGGGCGGAAATTCAGTGTCTTAATGCGAACATTTCAGAAATTAAATAGAAAAAAAAACGAGTGAAGAAGTAAATTAAATCTGAATGTTGAAAAATAAATATGACAAATTCAACAACAATAGTCTAGGTTACTGCTATTTGGAGAGATGCGACAATCATCGATATTGGGTAAAAACTTCATCTTTCTGTCACCAAATCTTATTAAAAACATTCTTATTGCATTAAATATCAAAACTATAACTCTATATACTACTTATTGTTCTGGGGAAAATTTTAAAACGAAAATTTAACTTACACTGAGATAACGCTTTGGGGGTTGCTATTTCCTACCTGTACCTGGACCTCAGAAAGATTAAACTCTAATACGATGCTACTTTGAGTCTGTTTTTAACAGCAATCTGCCTCCCAGTCACCGTTTCTTCCCCCGCATCGACGTTAAACTCTTTTATTAAAGTGAAACGATAGTCTTGGAACACAATTTAACGAAACGCGTCCTAGTTGAATTCGCAGTTGCTGGATTAGCACAGCATTTATATTTGAATTTTTCCATTTTCATATTGCAATTTCCTTCATAGACAGAGGTATACTTTAATAAGACTGGAGTGAAATTTCGTACAATGAAATACAATGAAATAGAGAACCCTTGCTTTTATTTTGTCGCCTCGAAATTTCTTATTCTGGTTCTTTTTGTAATGTTTTATATCTGTCTTAACAATTGGGGGGAGTTGGGGCTGATGATTGACAGGGAGCTGAGGGTATGTTTCACTTCAACAAATTTTGCAATAGAATGCCAGCATGGCAGAATAAACTGAAGTCAGAAAGATGACATGACGAAAGGATAATATGGCAGGCTTAGGGTAGCATATCCTTGGCAAAAAGGATCCTTTTGTTCTTAGCTAGACAATACCCAGTTGTTTTTCGTGAGACTTCTGATGAAACACAAAAGAAACTCCAGCGTCCCAAGCCCTTTTGAGTATGGTATCTGCGAGGCCTTTAGAGCTGGCGCAGTGATGCCAGCAAGTTAGGTTATTGGTACAGTCGGATCCTTCAGGAGGTGGACGAGCTTCTATGTTGTTGACGCATCTGCGACACTTGAACCTGGAAAAAAGGCACGGCTGACTTGAATATTTGGCGAGGTAAGTTTTAAGGACACGACAAATAAATAGATTCATAAGTTCGCTATATTGGTTTAAAACAAGGAACAAATTTAATGCCTAATTCTTCCTCTTATGTTACTTTAGATCCACATAAATTTATGCCTACCTTTGGTAAGCAAGCTAAAATTCAGGTCATCAAGCTCCCTGTACAAAGAGTACTTGAGAATTACAGTGCTTTAATTGCTACACTCCTAAATATAAGCACTCTTGAGAAAGGCAACCGTTTTGCTCTGAAAAGTACTGCAAATGCGCTAAAACTTTTTTGCCACGTAGCAAAATTTGATTAAGGGGCATATTCGGTTGTTTTGATTAAATGTTTTGTCTGATGTGTTTAGGACCATTTCATACCTGTCGTGTGTATCGCTCAAAGTTTCCTCGTTATAAGTAAAGAGGTCCTTCAATTCGCTTAACGAAAAATGTCTTTCAACATCCTCCTCCTCATCCACAACACAACTGCTCAAGGCTTTCTTGTGTGCCTGACGCTGTAAAATTTTCTCCTCCAGAGTTCCAGTCTGAAAAAGGATTGATGATATGACAATAAAGCTTGTGGCACAAAAAATGTTTGGTTTTGCTATAAAATTTGAAAATTAATTCATTGAAATGTGATCATCACTCTTCTCGATGTTTCAAAAGATTACAAAACGAACGACATTTGAGGTGGCCTATGAATCTTGAATATTGAATGCTGTATTTCCTCGTAAGTATGCCGTGGCTCCCTTTTATCTCAAAGGAAATTATTCCGTCTATTTTCCTATGGGCTTTTTTCAAGGTGTCTTCTGGAGACCTTGAAAAGAGAAATGAAAAACAAGATAATAAAAATAACACCAAATTTTCGAAATGTCTAACCAAACAGGAAAAGAAAAATAGAAACGTGTCAGTTAGTGGGATGTCAATATCCCTTCTTATGCATGTTCCCCGTTGTAAAACCCAGGAGCTGAACCTGTTTTTAGCTGCTAACGGACCTGTTTTCTCAGTACTTTTACCAGTGGCGTAGCGTGACTTTCTCAACTGGGTATTCTCTTTTTTGAAAAAGGGTGGAGTAAGGTGTGGCCGGGTGGGGTTTGGTTGGAATAGGCGGGATAGGAAGATTATTTAATATATTATTTAATTTAGATCCATTATTTAATGTCTAAAATCGGTTGGCAAGGACTGCATTGTCTGGGTATAAATATGATGAAACAATACTTTGGTAAAGAACCCAACACAAATCGACTTTTTGAAACCATTGCAATACACCAAACTACTGTTTCATCAAAAGCAAATAAAAGCTTCTCATTGAAAATCAGTAAACATACATGGTAGAAAGACTTTCCAATGCATTTTGTTCTGGATAGTGAAACTACGTAGCGAGCTTGTTAGCTTGATTGGTAAAGATGGAATAAAAGATTAGACTGGCAGTATGCTTCAAGAAACTATATAACAATATATTCTTGATAAGTACATGAAGATGCCTTGAATAAACAGTAAAAGGAAACAGCTTATAGAAAATATTGGTATAATCGAGTTATGTTGCAATGTTTTTATTTATACACTAAATCAATTCTGCGCTCCTTCATCGCAGCGAATTTTTCAATTATGTTGTCGTGAAATGATTTACGTGTATACAAGCATGTAAGGAGTTCTTTTTCGATCGAAAACAGTGACAAAGCAGATAAGCGACCTTGACACATAGTGTTGCGAAAAGCTGTTTTGATGCGCTTCAAAGCAGAAAAGGAACGTTCTACAGAGGCAGTGGTTGCAGGTACTGTTAGAATAAGCTCACAAAGTTTAGTGATCTGTGGCATCGTTTTAAATAGTCCAGTGGAAAGCAGCGTTTGAAGTAATTCATGCGGGAAGATATCTGAAAGCTCGTTTGAGTGATAAAATGCTCGAAGTTCCGTTTCTAACTTTGAATGATCGAAGTGACGACCATAACTGGCAATAAGAGCGGAAAAGGCTTTCCTTGGAAAATCTTTCTTATGTTTAGGGGCCCTCTCAGGGTCTAGCAGCTCTACAAAACAAAGGGACTGCAAAGACTGGAACCGTGTGGAGATTTCCTGCAACAAATGATCCAATATTTCAAAAAACAGCAACTTAAACGGTCGGTTCGGCTGGTCTTCGAAAACAGTTCTCTTTCGAAGTGGCTCATCGATGCTCGCCGAAGACTTCTGCCATATGTCATTGAAACCCTCATCACTTCTTAAAGATGCAATGATACCTTTAACTTTTTCGACTTTGGCATTGCAATACGAGATGTCATATCTCTTCGTTTGAAGAATACTGAAGAGCCATTCCGTATGAGGAAAGATGTTTTGAAAGACTTCAAGAAGAAACATAAATTCCGCACCCTTCATTTTAGAAATGTAACCACCAGCAGCATCTACTGTGGCATCATCCCAGGACTGTGGGGAATCGATAACATCATTGAAGAAGGCAAGAAGATGGGAGAAAATACTATGAACTGTACCAACCAAGCGAGCCTTAGAATTCCACCGAGTCTCACACGCAGTGGGGATTCGGCGCTTCAAAAAACGATTGAAGTCAGAAGATCGTTTTGTGGAACGAGAAAAGAATGTAGACAGTCCAGTTAAGGTGGAGAAAAATCTCTTACATGCATTTATTCTGCGCACACTTTGAGACAACACAAGGTTGAGTTTATGTGCATAGCAATGAATAAACAAAGCCTCTTGGTACTTCTCATTCACCCTGACATTCACACCGGAAATTTCACCTGCCATTACTGACGCACCATCATAAGTCTGAGCAACGAGCTTTGGCCCAACCTTATACTCTTCAATCTTTGAAATTGCAATTGCAGCAACTGATTCAGCATTTCTTTCCAAGCTACATTCAATAAATTCAATAAAACGTTCACAAACTCTGAATTTAGAGACATAGCGAAAGACCAAAGACAGCTGCTCTCGTTTTGATACGTCGGGGCTCTCATAAAGTTCTATTGCAACAAAGTTTGCACCAGAAAGCTCATCGCAAATTTCCTCCTTCATTACTCTTGACATACAGTGGATCAAATCGTTTTGAACCTGAGGAGAAGTACCAACAAAAACAGTAGCTTCAGAAAAATGCCTCCTTAGAACATCGTCATATCGCTCTAACAGTTTCAAAAATTCAACGTAGTTCCCTTTATTGAGAGAACTCTCACTTTCATCGTGTCCCCGAAAAGACAGTTCTTGCTTACCAAGCAAATAAACTGCATCAATCAATCGACGCATCATCTCCCTATTCTCCCTGACTTTTTCATTGTGCAGCTGTAGTGACCTTTGCTTTTGGTTGTCGAACAGAAAATCGATGCGAGCTCTCCCAAAGGTTTTCAACTGAATCATAGCATGAATGTGTGCCTGTGAAAGCCCATGTTTTTTGGAAGATTTAGTCAAGTTACTCAAATCAGAAAAACCTGTATCATTCCATACTCCCTTATCTGAGATAAATAACAAACATGGCCAGCAGTATAGTTTATTGTTTGAAATTGATCCAGTGAGCCAGTCGATTCTTTCGTAAGAAGCGGTCGAAAAACGGCGAACAAATCCACCTTTACAAGGTTGTGTGATGTCAACACACGGGTTTGGCTTACCCTTATCAATAATTCTCTTTCTTTCAGCAAATGATAAAGTAGCAAATGGTTTGTTAAGTAAAGTTGAAACGATATCATCCGTCGCAGATTCTGCCATGCTTACGATTAAACAGGGAGGAAAACAGCCGAGAGGAGTACCGAACAAATTGATTACCCCAGAGCTAATACAAATGAGTCATAGAGTACCTGATATCATTTCAGTGGTTGCTAACACTAAACAAAGTGCTCAATTAAAAATTTCGCAATAGCTGTTGTTGAATTCCCTGAACTATTTACTGACGTAAAGAGGAAGTAACTGTAAACACCTACTCTTGTTGCTACTTTATGCAAAAGGCCGATAGAAAATGTCGAAATTATTCACGTATGGTATTACATGGGTTATAAATATGTTGTGGGGCATGTAGTCTAGACCGTTTTCTCTACAAGTTAATTTTCGAAAGCATCGAAGGTAATGAGAGGTGACTGCACAAAAGGCCTTCGAATGATGCAAACAAAATAGGCCAAAACTTTATGTAAATACACCAGGCAACTATAAGGAAATTATTCAAGCCTATCTGCATTTATATGATCACATAATACAAACAGAAGCATACCTTAAGACTTACGTTACGAATGATAACATTATTGGCATTTTCAAGGGTATACAGATAGAACTAAGTGTAGTACTATGTAGCAGCCTACCTTTCCTCTGCTCTGTGCTGTTGGTAGATTGGGGGTCAAATGTAAGAATGATTATGAAACAGCTAAACGAGCATGCAAACGTCCTTTGCAATTATTTTTCGAGATATAGTCATCTTTACTGTTCTCGATGAAACTCAATCAGTCGCTCCGACATCCATTTGCTTTTTATTTTGACTTCAATGCGAGACTGTTTTGAACCATCTCTGAGGCTGTACGCTGCATATTTCTCAGCGTACAGGACCATTGTTTTAGCTGATTAACGGCAAATATTATTCATGGAAAGGAGCATTTTGATTGGTTGAAGTACCGTCTAGGGTATTCACTGCGTATTCGTGACCGCCCTCACTTCAACATGAAGTAGCTCAATCTTCCACATTGGCTTCAAAGATCTCCCTGCTTCCCTAGGCTTCGCAGCGTTATCGCTGTCTTACTTTCCAATTAATTTTGCGATAATTTGAACGAAGGCGAGAAAATCAGCCATAATAAATCAGCCATTAGAGCATATTTAAGTAATTGAAATTTTACATTGCATTTATATTTTTTCTGAAAAATCTCAGGGTATTCACTGAATACCTTGAATACCCGGACGCTACGCCACTGACTTTTACGTAATCTATCTTTTTGGACTTTATCACTTCCTGAAGTCATGACTAAATTTCACGAGAACAACATTCATCTAGGCATTGTAATAAGAATTTTGTCAACGCTATCAAACCAAAGGCTTGGTTAGAGATAGTTTAGGGATAGATAAGGAAAAATGTCAATAAGAAATGAAGACCACAACAGTGCCAAAGAGGCGCAGCTTTTAGGGAAAATTTATGGAAAATTTATAGACGATTTGGGGAAAATGCATGGGCAATTTACGGGAGACTTGGGGATAATGCATGGACAGTTTATGGGAGATTTAGGGACAATAAATGGAATTTATGGGCGATTAAGGGATAATTGATAGAGGATTAGGCACAATTGATGGAAGATTTAGGGACAATTTATAGACAGTTAATGGACGACAAAGTATGGACAATTAATGGAAAAGTTATGGACGATTTTTGGAAAATTTATTGAGGATTTGGGGAAAATTTATGGAGGATTAAGAGATAATTTATGGAGGATTCAGCGACAATAAATGGATAATTGATGGACGACCATGTATGGACAATTAATGGAAAAGTTATGGACGATTTAAGGAAAATTTATTGAGGATTTGGGGGCAATTTATGGACAATTGATGTACGACCATGTATGGATAATTAATGGAAAAGTTATGGACGATTCAGGCTTTAGATAAAATTTCTTTGTTATTTTTGGACAAATTTTGACTGTATGTTGTTTCGCTAAATTCCCAAGATTTCTCTTTATGGTAATCTTTCTCGTACATCAATTTTCAAAAGTGAAATATAAACCTTTGAATTTTCGGGTCAACTGCAAGTCGCTGAGACTGAGTCCTCATTTTTCTCAGTATTATCGAATAGCATTACATAAATTGTTCCGGCAAACCGAAAACGATTTGATGTCAGAAATTTCTATTTTAGAATCTTTTGGTTTTGAACATATAACCTCAAAGCACAACATAAAAACCTCTTTATGTGCAAAATCAGTTTGATCTCTTACAGATCACCTGGGATATGGCCAAAGTGTACAGACATTCTCCCCACTGTAACTTGGTCTTGGTTCTAAATCTTATGAATCAAGCCAAGATAACAGTAAGACTGTTCGCAATCTTTAAATCTTCCATAAAAAATAACCCTGGAGTCAGTAACATTTAACTGATCTCGTACATTTATAGGTACTTCACCATGCGTTTCTTTCTGCTAAGGTTGTCGAAATACGAAAAATTCTAAAAATAGAATTTTATGACGTAATCATTTCGCCACTCTGTTCTCATTGTATAGTAGATTCGAATAGCTCAGCTGCATTTTGTTGGATTCCCTCTCTTGTAACGCGATATTTCGGTGGCTGTTTCCATCATATCTAATTGAAGACAAGCTTTTTTGAAGGCCGGCCTATTTTCGAGGAAATACGCTTTCTTCTGTTCCATATGCTAAATTACATGGCTATGTTAACCTCGTTTACAAAAGCAACGGTAACATATATACATGGCTAAAAAGAGCAACGAAAGTGAAATATTCAGTATAGCTGAATATGCTTCCAATCACTGCAGCTAGCCCTGATCACAATGGTATTCTAAACAACTGATTTCAAATCTGTCAACAAAATCACACGAGGTTCATATCCATATTGCCAAGTATGATTTTCGAAATGTTTTAGAAAATTTCAAAGTGTGTACATACCGATAAAAGACGATAAATGTAAACCTGAAATAATAATGAACTTGTATGAAATCAAATAAGATTGGTTATTAAAAATTGTGAAATAGTTTTCTGGTGGCACAAAAATGCAGATGGGCATGAAACAAAGTTAACAAAGAGCTGCTTTTGTCCGACACAATTTAAAGTCAGAACACTGCTGGAGGGTCAAATACCTAGATTGTTACTTCTCTGAGGAATGCCTCATATACACGTTACAATGTTTTGTTTGAAACAGCCAGCAATATTTGGTCAAAAAAGATGTTGGTCCACAGTGATACTTGGTACAAAATAATATGCGGTCCATTGAATTATCTGGTCCATTGAAATATTTAGTCCAAAATTATATTTCATCAAAAATTATCTACAATTCGCAAAATAATTTGGTCCGCAATGATATTTGGTCCAGACAGATAATTGGCCCACAATTATATTGTCACAGCATTGCCTTTACCGTAAATCCTCGAATTAGCGCCCTGGGGGCTTATTTATTTTTGATATTTTTGGATGGGGGATTATTCGAGGGGGTATACGAGGGGGGCTTAAAAAATTATTGTAGACATTAAGAAGACATCATTAAAAGACCTCGCTTATTTTAGTAGGAATTTCTTTATGAACATTTAATTAATTACTAGCAAAAGTATGCATTTGTTGTGGTAATTCAATAAAACCCCATGAGCAACCTCAGATGGCAAAATCATCAAATGGAGGGGTCCAATTTGAGAATTTACGGTAGCAGTGGGGGCTTATTCGTGGGAGGGGGGCTTATTGAAAATTTGTAGTTTTAGGGTGGGGGCTTTTTTCGAGGGGGGGGTAATTCGAGGGGGGGGGGGGTAATTCGAGGATTTACGGTATGGCATAGTGCTCGATGCCGTATAGGCAGGGCTGTCCACGATTTTGTGTATAAAACAGGGTGGTTCTCAGTTGCGAATTCAAGTTTCACGCTTAATGTGATCATCAAGAGACTTAAACTGGAATTCTGCCATGAAGAAATGTCAATCCTACCTGCTTCTTTTGGCCATCTCTCCATATCCTAGCCATTGCCTGATCATCACTGGCCGGATTCCAATCCGGATCAAACATGACCAATCGATTCGCACCGATCAAGTTCAATCCACAACCGCCCGCCTTGCTGCTCAGCATGAAAATGAATTCTTCACTCTTTAAAAGAAAGTCAAATGGATACACATATTGTAAATATTGGAGACAAGGAGGTAGGGTCAGCTATTCTTGGCTTCAAAAGGTATGCTCACTTAAATGTCCATGGCCAAATCATACGTGTTACTGGCAAAGTGAAATTACTTGGAGTTTCTATCGATGAAAAGCTAGGTTTCTGCCAACACGGAGGGAATCTTTGCATGAAAGTAAACACGAAGGTAAAAGCATTCTCTAGATTGTCAAACTATATTGACGAGAATCAAGCAAATATACTGTACAATGCTGTTATGATCTTGCTATTCTGTAGCAAAGTTGGCAACAATAACATCAATCGAATACATAAACACGCAGGATTTTGAATCTACTTTCGAAGAACTTCTATCAAGGTAGGAAGATGTTTCAATACCCGTTAAAAACCTACAAAAACTGCTATTAGAAGTTTACAAAACACCTAAACCCCTAATATTTCTGGGAGAATTTCCAAATAAATCTTTATCTTATGACTTACGCAAACAGGTTTTATGGAAACTTCCTCAGAGGTTGCATGCAAGAAAATATGGAATAAACTCCCTAAGATTTAGAGGGCTATATTGTGGAATAACCAAATCCCTGTTCAATATTTCTCCTCATTTTTCATTTTGAAAAAAGGTTTCTAGCTCTCCCTGATAGTCTCGACCCTTCCACCCTTCCCGTTTCTTTGCTACTCTAGAGAACCCTTGGTGGACACTGCTTCCCAAAAAAAACCATTATTTTATCTCTACTCTAACAAAAACAAAGAATCTAGAGTCTGTTGGAGCTTTTGAAAAGAAAACTGAGACTTGGGATGGAGCCAGTTGCCTCTGTGCAATTTGTAAATGGACTCTTGTATTCCCTTTATTAGTAATTAGTATATGTTTATTTAGATTTATTGTAGATTTATTAGATTTATTGAATTAGTTTTTGAAAGAACTATGTAAGTACCAACGGCAAATAAATTGATGATGATGATGATCATGATGATGAAGGGTTGGGGGAAACGATTAATGATTAATGATGATGATGATGATGATGATGATGATTTCGGAAAACCTGGAAAAGCCAGACCCTACGATCATAGGATCCCTGTGACCTGATGGCCCTTATCAAGAATGTCTGAATATCAAGAAGACCCAAAAGGTCTCTTCTGGTTTTTCCATGATGCCGTTGATGTCATGATGATCGTTGTCGTTTTTGTGATTAATCTATCTTAATTATTGTTAAAAGTTCTATTGTTACTTTTGTGAGTTTGAACTCTAATATTTATATAACATTCCTCGACTGGGGGGAGGGGGGTTGTAATGATTGGTTGTTTAGTTGATTGGCTGATTTGTTGACTGGTTTGTTGACTGGTTTATTGACTGGTTGAGTGCTTGATTAAGTGATTTATTGATTGATACGGTCGATTTAGTAATCGATTAATGATTAGATGAAGAGGATAATATAATAAATTGATCGAAGAACCAACATTCACACATCTTACACACAATTAAACACAACAATTCACCTACCGCTGGATTATTAAACCTATCAACTATTTTCATGCGCTTTCGAATTGACATCGAGCCATCCAAACGCACAAATACGTATCTGAAATGGCAAAAAGTTGAAAAAATCTTGAAAAGTTGAAAAAAAACAATTTCAGAGAATTCATGACGTCGGCTGAGTAAGTAACTATTATAACCTTTAATTGAACTTCATCTATTGTAATAAACAGATTTGACGACACACTCTAAAAAAAGATTTTTGGTCTAAGTTTTGCGAAATTTAAATGTAAAAAGTAAACAGAGAAAGAAGAGGTGAAATTCAATCGAATCTAACTTCACCTTCGATATAATTTTGAGAAAGTTTTCAGAAGAAAATATAGCTTTTTATAAGCAGAAAAATGAGGCCCACAGTAAGACAGATAATGAGAATCCACCTTTCTTGTGCCAAAAAGAGAAGAAATTAGATTATTGAGAAATACTATTATACTCAATGAGCTGAATTTGTAAAACTTAACTTTCAGGACAAGAAACAGGTTTTTGACGAAAAACTTACCCTCTCATACGACATAATTTCTCGAACAAATCCAATGTTTGTGTATAGTTGGATACCAGCACAACCTATAAGAATTGAAAGAAAGGCGATGTATTATCACGATGCTGACAAATAACATGTGATAAAAGTTTGCTTCTTATTCTGGTTACCACCGGGGTGCATTGATAATTATCAGGAAGTTGGTTTTAACGCGCTAAAGAAATGAAAGAATTGTTAGGTCATGTTAGGTGTTAGGTGAATATCTAGATCATAATTGTCAGTTAATTATCAACAAACCTCTTTGTTAAGAATTTTGATAAATTTTGAAAAATTCCAAGTTAATGAATATCGAGAGAAAAAAAATTTCTAACGTGGCAAATGCGAAATGAGGACATTACTAGATGTCGGAGTTTAAATCCAAGACTGAGGTGCAATTCACTCTTACAAAAAGTGTACGAGGGATAAAAAGTGTACAATAGAATAACCACCAAAGGTGTGCGAGATTTTCAAAGAGCGATTTTCCCTCGTCCAAGATATGAATAAATTGGCAATTGTGTAGAAAGAGTTAATCACTCGCTAAACTTGTAGCAGAACGAATTGCCAAGTGCAGTGACATCAAGAGGAACTAACAGGATAGTAAGAGGAGCATCACACGAAAGCTAGGTAGCAACAAATAGTATTGCAAAAAGCCAGGATATTAAATAAAGAAGCGAAGCAGTGATTGCATCGAGATAATACTAATGGAAACTTCAGGAGCATCAACTCACCTTATCTGTTGACGTTGCCTTTGTCATTGCAAGTATATAATCAAGCACTTGCATCTTTCCTAAAAGGAAAGGGGACCTTGCAAATAAGGTTTAAAAGAAAGGGCAGAAAGAAATACAAAGATTTTCGAATGTGCTGAATTAGCAATAGGCTTCGAGTTAGGTCATATTCTAAGTTCCAAAAGGACAATACCGGACATATCTGGACGAAACTGCTTTAAACTAAAATCTTTTGGAAATATGTCTATAACGTCGTGAAGGCCATTTTCATGTAGCTTCATTTTGTCGTAAATCAGCTCCGGGTCTAAAAGGAATAAGAAAGACCTCGAGTAATTAAACATGGTAAATAATAGGGTATAATTGCATAGGCCGGTTGACTCATTAGTAGCTAATTTAGGGTGCAGTGATTGGACCCCTCTTTCAGTCAAATCAAACTGGGCCTTTCTTGGGCACAAAACTTGGTGAAAGATGTGGTCAATGCATTGTAAAGATTTAAAAGCAAAATCTACTCCTCAAATCAAAGTCTTGAAATCTACTTAAGCCATGATAAACATCATAAGAATAAAATAATTAGAAATAATATGACACTTAAATTATGAGGGGCATTATCCATGGGTAGCATCCACAATAGCACCCCATGTGGGATGCATCATTTTGGTTTAAGGCCAGAGCCAAGTTACGTACAGGCCAGAGTGCGTCACTCTGGCCTGTACTGCGTCACTCGTGCACATTCTCCCTCTGTAAATTTCCAAAAACCTTGTTCTCCTATCAATAAATTATATCTTGGATACGCTGACACTTACGGTTGCAAAGTTTCTTAATCTGGGTTATAAAAGCCAGCGATGACGCAGACATCTTTGATGATTGATTGGCTGCCATTTGCAGTTTTAAAGCTTTTGAATTTAAGAATGCTTTGTACATAGCAACTTGCAGAGGAGTCAGTTTACAGCAGACAACTTGTTCGACTGGAATATAAAGAAGAAGAGATCATATCATGCAAAACTTTAATTGCAATCATAGGCAGTTGGCATTAAGTTTTTTTGAAAATTTCTGTTTTTGCAAACCTCAAATTCTTCGTAATTCATTCAACTTCAACCTGAAACTTGATGTGCGTTACCTACGCATGTACTCCAAGTGCTTCGTCTTTAGCCAATATTACTTATCTGTTAGCAAATCTGAGCTACAACTTTCAGCAAACTGTTTAAGTACATTAAATAAAGTAGGGTGTAATCATCTTCTTAATACTGTTCAAAACGAAGCATAATTTGAAACTTCTGGACTTCCACAAATATATCATAAGTTTGTTTAATGACAAAATATAAAATCCTTTTTAAAATAACAGATTTCAAAGAAAAATTAGGAACAATGAAAGAGTTTAGAAAAGACAGTTGTTGTATAGCGCCAATGCCATATAATCTGTTTTGCATAAGGGCCTATAGGAGGTTACCATATATAGGAATAATATTGAAAGGAACTTGCAAAGAAAAGGAAGAAATTGATTTTATTTAAGGAACAAGACTGACCTTTCACGGGTAAATATTTTGACAAAATTGCGGCTGAAGGAAGGAAAAAAAGAAAATAAAGCAAACAATTTTCGGTGGCAAAAATTAAAAAGTTTTAAAGACATTTTTAGAAAATAAAGCTTGGGAAATAAATCTGATTTATAGCAGTGCATAAAATTAAATATCAACAGCAACTGCAATGAATAAAAAAATTTTGATAGAAAATTATGTATCAAACAATTCAGAAGGGCACTCAAGGAAATCTGAAATTAAAATTCAAGTAGTGCAAAACCTCGCGGAACGACAAAAGAAAACTCTAAACATTATCAAGACGTCAAAATTTTACAGCGCCAGAGATGAAAACGAAAAAGCCAAGACCCTCGTGTATAATGTCGACGAAAAAGGAGCGCCGATCTTTCTTCAATTATTAATAAACTATGCCTTTCATTTCTACCACATATTAACGATGAAATATCCCGAAAGTGGCCAGTAGCCCTACAGTTCCATACCATGTAGAAAATGTGCATTATAAAGAAAATGCCACCCTTTTCGGCAATGACGTTACCGATCAAGAAAGAAAAGGTCTAAGTATTTCGCAGTATTTTACAGACTTCCTCTTCCGTTTTTGGCATATAACTACATAAAATGGTTTTCCAATAAGCTTATAGTTTTTCAATGACAATGAAACTGCTTTTCACAATCTGTCATAATGTTTTTCATTCAAGATAACACGTTTGGCTGTTTTTGAAGTGTGACGGGCGCTGAGAAAAGTGCATCTCTTAGTATCGCCAAGAGAGGGGAAATTAAAATTGTTTATACCAAACAGATTTGTGAACGGTATCAAAGAAAAAAGACAGCCTTGATAAAGGTAGCATATCTGCTTAGTAAATTTGTTCAAAATACTGTTAAAAGTAGAAGAAACTTTGCAGCATTTTCCCGCTAATTTTGAAAGGTTTGGTAAGCCACTAGCAGTGGTAACAGGAGTGGTATGATGTTGGTGACGACTTGATATATATGAGTTTCTATAATTTATCTTAAAACTAAAAAAGGTTAGATGTGATTTAACTTACATGTTCGTCGAATTATACACCGACTAACGATTGAGAGCAGCTGCAATAGAAGTTGATATATTTGATCAATACTTGTTTCTCTTTAAAAGCACATGACACTGCAAAGTTGTAGTGCAAAGTTGAACCGTAAACCTTACCAGTAGTATGAATAAGAAAAAATACAACAAAAACAGTTTGATTCGACGACAAGGAGCCAGTTTTCAACTGGGGCCGAATCTAAGATGTTTTGTAACCTAGTGAGTCAGCGCAGGCGAGGACGGGTTGAGCTAACACGAAAGTGGGGTGAGATCCGTAGCATTTTGCTAGTTCCAGAGGCTCCTGGAGACCTTCTGTTGGACTGGATTTGGCATGCTAATTGCTAAATGTTGCCCGAAACGCCACTTTTTGCTGGAATAGACCATTGTGCTAATGCCTTTTAATAATCCATCAACAAATCGTGTTTTCTTGACTGTTGCTTGACTTAGATAACTCCAAAAGAAATTTTCTTTTAATCTGATATAAGCTTGGATTTAATTTCACGCTCAAAAACTTTTCCAGCCTACACATTTCGCGTTAATGATAAAAATGATTTCCTCAAAGAAATTTCAAATTCAACCTGAACAACTTTGAAATTTTTACACAGATTATCAAAATCATAAACCTTAAAAATCACTCCTAATATGGTACAATAACTACTAGCCCCTTGTATTTGCGATTCTTGCTTCTATAAAACTCCTTATATTTCCTTTACACTCGTTATCGCGAATTTCATGACTTTTTCAAAAATGCGTAAGGTAATTCTCGGGAAAGATCTTATTTCGCTTCATTCGCAAAAGTTAATTCCAAAAAATTCGCGCTTTCTCAATTCGCGAAATTTTCTTCCAGCGAAACTTTCTTCCCTAAAAGCATGTTTGTAGAGAAATCAAACCACAGCAAAAATAGAAAACTTTATAACCACCTCTGCAAGTTTCTCTTCCCCTTTCTTCTTCTGATCATCAGTGGCATCAGAATCCCTTCCTTTCAGAATTGGGTTTTCATATTTCCTCTTGAATTCGGATACTTCACCTGAAAATAGGGAAAACAAGATACAACAGAACTACAAAAAAACATGGTGCAAACAAAATTTTTATATAAAAAAAAGGCCTTTTGCACTTTAAACCATGAAAAATCTTCGATTACTGTCAAAATAGCAATCCAGAAAGGCTGCTATGGTGAAAATGACAGCCTCGGTTGAGATCACAGCCTCGGCCAATATTGGAGCCGAGGGGTCCCTCTTTCCATACACGGTGCATTGTTAGGCTTTTGCAGAAAAGTACTTATGGTCGAGGTTTCTAGATAAATTTTTTCAATAGATGCTTTAAACAATTTTTCGGGGTAAAAAATTTGAAAATGGCTTTGAAAAAAAGCAAACAACTTTGTTTTTTCGTCTGACACTCCTTAGAATATAAACCGTCAGAAGAAGGTTCCGAAAGACCAAGATGGCGAACATATACTCAGTTGTGGATCGAAATAGGCCAATCAGAAAAACGCAAACACATGCCCGGTATAGGTGTCCAGCCATCACATAGATTAAACAAGCCATCACAAAATGTTTCTTTGCTGTCACCCCATATTGTTTACAGCAAAAGGAGAGCCCTTCCGTCCATTTAAAACTATGGCGTTCCTACCAACCAAAAAAGTTCCGTCAGTTATGAATTCACGTGACAGTGTGATTCTGGCTACGTAGGACGAAAAACCCAAAGATTGGGGGATAGGATAAAACAGCATGTTCCTTCCAACATAAGAAACGAAACTCCCCCTCAAAGAGAACAGCCTCCTTGATCTTGTAGGTTGAAGAACATCGTTAAAACAAGTGATTCTGCCATTGGTCAACATCTTTTAGACAACCCAGAATATGCCAGAGTCTAACGACATGTTTCAGATAATTGGCAGAGCCAGGTCGTCTTTCCATCTAGCAGTTTTGGAATTGATCTACATACAAACGAAAAAGCCGCTACTGTGTAGACAGAAGGAGTTCGTTTTCTCTCTTGGACTCCAGTGGTAACTTTTCTTTAGGCAAGCGGCACTGATTGGTTAACTATACCGGTCTTGTGCTTGCGTTTTTCTGATTGGCCTATTTCAATCCACAACTGGGTATATATTTTTCATCTTGTTCATTTGACCCTGATTTTGATGTTTTATACCCCGAGGAGTGTCAGACGAAAAGGCTTTTAGTATGTTGTAAAATGTTTGCTTTTTTTCAAAGCCATTTTCAGATCCTTTTAAAATGTTTCAAGTAATCAAAAAAGACTGTAAGAAGCAAATTAGAAAAATTTAAGATAGAGTTATCTCGGTTTAAAGCAATAACAAAGAAATATTATGCCTTTTTTATTTATTATAACGTTTCTTATTTATTTATTATCATTGTTATTATTATTATTTTTTATTATCAAATATTATCATCACGATAAAGTGTATAGATTTTCAGTTGATAGTTTGATTTTAGTACCGCCGTAGAATGTCTGCCAGAGAACATTTTAGAACACTTATGTTCCAAATAATTTAGAGAGCATGTCAACAAATTTGTAAAGTTCATTGTTCTTTTTTAAAACATCAAAAAAATAAAAAATTCAACAGGATTAAACCTTAAGTTTTCTTCTGCAGGATCCTCTAAGAGAACAGTATTTAAAACTTAACAGATCCATATAATTCCCTTAACTAGTTGCCCACTTCAGAATTCCACTCTGCCCAAAGGAGTTTTCCTTTCTATTATTGACCAATGGGAATTTTCATGAAGAGGCAACATGTCGTAGACATTGTAGGAAGGGATTCTTAATGTAGAATGTAGACATCATCTGCTCATTGTAGAAGAGACAAATTGGAAAATATTACGCAGAAACGACCGACACATGTTTATCACATCATGGTATCATGTTGGAGGGCGCGAGAAGTTTTAGCAACTAAGTATGCTGCTTATCTGCATAGAATGACGCTGTGAGGCAATTTTCCCGAAGATAGAATCTTTGTGAAAGTTTTTCGGATGGGCAAAATTGAAAGAAAGATTTCGCAGAGGCTGCTTCAAAGAAGTTATTTTAGGGATTTTAATTTGAGAGTAATGCTATTATATTCTGAAAGTTTTTAGAACTTCTATAAACAATCAAAAAATAACAATATTGTCTACTAGCGTGCTCGCAGAACTAGGTCTAAATGACATGGCTCTAAAGAATTTCCACTTCGCCCTTTTGCTTGCTCTTTCCTGGCGCTGAAATGTCCTTAATGTCCTCTTTAGATTAATTCACAGTCACAAAGGAATTGTATTAATACTGAAACTCGATAGGGTACAGTTGAAATCCGATACTACGAGCATGGAAGGTGACCAATGTTGGAGCTCGTTATAGTTGTTGGGGAAACAAGCAATAGAAAGTTTTTAAATAAGTGAGGCAACCCTCCGTCTTGGAGGCAAAGAGCATGTGAACGAAACGAAGTTCTTATTACGCATGCTCTCCGACTCTAGGACGGAGGGCTACATCACTCATTTGAATATTTTCGCTTGCTAGTCTCCCCAACAAATAAGGGAAGTTAGTAAAACCCAGGGTTCACTAGACTAGGCTAATGTGTAAGCCGTATTTTTAGTTCATTATACAAGGAAATTCCCTTTTTTTCTGGGAATTTGTTAAATCTGGATTCCACTGCATCGTGGAACTAGCAAACGAATAACTAGGCGTTGTTTGCTGCTGCCTAAGATCTCAGATAACTCATGGAATAAATTTGCTTTCAAGAAAGTCAAAAGTGACTAACCAGTACTTGATGATGCACAATATGTGAATAATATTTCGAGTAACCAAGATCAACACAAGCAGTAATTAAAATCAACAAACCTAGCATGGAACTGTTGACAAAATGGACGAGACTGAAGTATTCAAGCAGGTCGTTTTGGATTGGAGTTCCTAAAAGGCAAGTAATGTTTCTAAAATAACTCATGAAAGAAACCTACTGGGATTCCAAAATTAAGTCATAATTCTACAGGGAGTAGAGGGCAAAATCCAAAATGTTTGTGAGGTAACTCACGAACTAAGTAACCTACAAGGAATAGAAGGCAAAATCCCAAAATTAGGTGTTAATTCTACAGGTTGATAAATAGAAATCTACTGGGAGCAAAATTCAAAGGTAACGAGTCCCTGGAGGCAAGGCTTGAGTATTATTGCCCCGATTATTGGAAGCAATATATTTTGATAAAATAAGAAAAACGAGTATTAGCCCAAGAGGAAACGAAAAAGAGAATTAATAAACATAACCTATAAGTTTTGCATTGTCTATCAATAATACTGAAAATTAAAATGATAAGGAGCAAATAGACGAACAAAAACACATAATCAACTTCGCTACAAATAACAACTTTTACGCGCTGATTAAATTGGATTTCATCAATACCTGATATCAATATCCGCCTCTTTGTCTTGAGTAAATTGAGAGCCTCGTATGTTTGGTTGTTAAGGTTTTTAAGACGATGAGCCTATGAAGCGAAACAAGACTATCTAGAAACGAGCACAGTACACAATTATTGCAAACTCGATTACCCTGGCCGGTACAGTTTTTCTTTACAGCTTAAAATTTAATGATATTAAACTTAAAAAATGCCACAATGGGTAGAATATGGTATTAGAAGTGATACAGTTATCAAAGATGTCTATTTCACGGAAAATACTGACTAGAATAATTCCCGAAAAGGAGTAATAAAAGAACGGTATAAATACTTATTCTTCGTTCTAGATTAGGCTTTTAAATTTGAAATTCTACATATGCCGATTCTGCTACTTAAAGATTTCATTGGCGAATGTTAGTGCAAAGCGAAACAAAGGTTCATGAAATGAGCTCAAAGACCCCCTTCCTACCCCATTCTAGAACATCAAAAAGCCTTTACTACAAAAAAATAAACGAACCTCGTCACAGATAAGCATTCCAACTTCTGATTTGTGTAACACAGAAGCATGCAAGCGAAATGTTTCGTATGATATGATCAAAACAGGAGTCGGAACACGAGTTCCTTGCTGTGACATAAATTGCTCTAAAATGGAAAGGCAAAAAAGGTGACGAGAAAGTATATCGGAACAAAATCTACATGGCTTTATAATCAGAGTAAAACATCTCGTAACAAATCTATGTTTAAATTACAATTTTAAGTATATTACGGTCGCCATATTGCTCAAAAAATTACAAAATGACCATTGTTCAAAACATTCTCTTTGTCTAGAACATGAACATATAATATAAACATTGAAAACCTAGTTTCTATCGTCTCAAAACACAATTTTTTTTTCATTTTTAAGGTGTAATCAGCTTTATTTCAAAAATGTTTATTTTTCTTACTTAAGGTGTTAATAGCTTTATTTCATCAAAAATATGTTTATCTTGTGCCAGAAAGAAATTCGTGATCTAAAGGTTGTTGCAAGTTTTATCAAATAAGCAAAGCGAAACAAAGAAACGATTCCTGACTCAAGCCATTTCTCCTCCATGACATCATTTGCATCAACAATTTATGTCAATCGTTCGATTAAGGTGTTGTTAGCTTTATTACTGTGTTATCGTAATAATTAGAATATTCTTATAATTATTGGTTGCATTACATGACTAAAATATAGGCCGTCGATGCTTTGCAGTCTTAGAATGCATGAGTTTTGTGTTGCTCAATCGAAAGTTCAATTTCTTTTCCAACTGCTAAACAAAACGGATACTTCGTTTTTCACAACTAAGAACATAACTGACGAAAGGTTTGAGAAGTTTTTAACAAGTAAATTTTGAAAATTGCTACCAAACAGTTACTGAATTACCAAGAATTCCTTTAATGTTGAAGGCCATAAAACCATTGATATCAGTAAGCAAGGACACCTTATACGTACTCAGTGTTTGGTCTATTTGATCCTTAGATCCAGAATCGATTGCGTTCGCCAAAACCCTCCGACCCAACCACTTTGCTATCTCGTTGTACCAATTCTGTTTAACAAGGAAAAACCTTTGTTATTAAGCGGAAGAAAGGCTAGAGAAAATGATTATTTTAGGGTAAGATTTTTAACAGTTTTGTTACTTAAAATGAAAAACTGCATGATTTGGTCATTTTGGGAGGAACTTTTTGTTTATGCATTCCTACGATGTAATTCGTTCTTTCAACAATTAAGGTATTCTGCACAGACACGCGGGTTCATTTTATTCGTTTTGAGAATCCAATAAAAAATAATAAGCAAAAACAACAGTTATCATTCTCTTTTGTAATATTTTATATCAGCAAAAGATTTAATTAAAATATAACATCGATTGAAAAACAAAAAGGATTCCAAAATTCTTCATTGATTTAGCTCTACTACACAATCTGAAAACATTTTTCTTTATGTCACAACAAAGTAGAGAATACATAAAAAGTAGCTGCAATTGATATTCAAATGTATATTCAAAAACATATCAACATTTATTACAAACCTTGACCAAACTGGCTGGACAAACTATAATCGATTTTGATATTTCTGGAATTCCTTCATGGATAAAGAGAAAGCATTATTGTACATCGAATTTCGTTTTTCGATATCAGATTAAAATTTTGAGGAAAATATCACTTGCAAACATCACACAAAAAATACAGAATATCTTACAGACTTGTCAAAGAAAAGTATAACTGCAAAAAGTAATGGAATTAACAGACAAAGACCTGCCACTTCAAAAGATTTCAAGGGATGAAAACTGGCAAGAATTGTCTTTTATAGCATATTTCATTCTTTTGGGTGGAGAAAAAACAAGATATCTTATGGTTTTTGAAACCCAAACTTCAAGTTCTTCTCCTTTTTCCGTTGAAAGATGCATTCACATCCACCCTTTTAACCCTCAATCGCTTCCAAAAGTCTTGGAACACTAACGTCAGTTTTCAAAGGCAAATTCAGCCACCCCCCTCTCCCCCACGGAACAATGTTGATTTGCTATAAAAAAAGGAAGGGGTTAAGGAGCACACTTTTTCTTGTGACTTGTATGATATTTTTCTATACTTTCAACATTGTTCAAAGGATTGGGTGTTCAAAGTAATTCGGCAGTGATTGTAGCTTTTTAATGTTTGACCTGTTCTCGAAATTTCAGTAACCACATCAGTACAAAGAAAAATTAAGTGTGTTGAAGGTTGATGAATAAAATATCTATATGATTTTTCAACACCAAGAAGAAAGCCTTCCGATGTTAACTTTCGCATATTCACCAATGTAGAGTTGTCAAACAAAAAACGTGAATTTTAATAACACTTGCCTTTTTTACTTTGTCGCTGAAAACAAAAATAAATCGTAATTCAATTTGACATTCAAACCATTTAACGTTGGGATTTCAACGTTGGGGTTGGGATGTCAAAATCAACGTTGGTACTTAGTTATGAGTACCGGAAGAAATGAAAATGTTTATTTACACGTAAAAATATCTTTTTTGTAACGATAAAGCTCTTTTAATCAAACTTCAAATGTTTTCTCAATCTATAATATTCAATTCAACTTTCAACGTATACTGTTAAATTATATAACTTAAATTTCAAGGAACGGTAGAGTAAGGAAATAGTGGTAAAAAAGCTTTCACCACAGCGATCAGATCTTTCTGTGACTTTCTCGTATAAAGAATCAGAATCAAGTAAATTCAGATGTTTTCGTGACAAAACAACCAAGCTGGCTCCGTAGTTTCAATTATTGATAGAAATTTCAGTCTTTAAAAAAATCTCAGTGCAGCAACATTTGCCATTTTCAGAGACTGTGTCGTTTGAGGAAGTTTCAATTCCGATATGTTAATAGTCACTGTTTTCCAGTGAAATATGTGTGTGTTTGGGGGGGGGGCGTGTGTAGGGCTGCTATTGGCCCTTTATCCTATGCCCAATTCTACGAGGATGGCTCGGTGGCTAGAGCCGCCGATTACAGATCCAAGGGTCTGTTGTCCAAGCCCTTGACATGAGTTAAATTTCACCCAGAATGAAGGGGTTTGCTAGCTCTCTGATATTCCAGGCGTAGGAATCATGAGGTGTGGTCACATCGAGAGGACGAGCCAGGACACTGCTCGATAAGCAGATCTTTCCAGTGTCCTAAAACTACCTTCGGGTGCTAGGTAGCAAACAAGACGCGACAAGACGCGACAATACAATACAATTAAATACAAGACAATACAAGACAATACAAGACAACCAAGTATAAGCAGCCTTGGCAAGAAATAATTTTCCACATACACTTTTTATGTTTTCCACAGAATAGAATGTTTAAAGGGTCATATCACAAAATCACTTACCAAAAGAGTGTATAGGAGGGTTATACATTGCAGTGTCTTGCCAAGACCCTAGAATAGAATTAAAGTGACATTCAAAAGCAGTCTTTTTACCTAAATAAGGCGACATAACGAGATAAATTGAGCAAATATCACATAATATTCAAACAATTTTTGGTCTCACAAAGCTTCGAAAAATTGGCTTGAAAAAGCCAGCAATTTAAAACACATCTTACTTTTCGTCTGACACTATTTAGAGTACTAAACGTCAGAATAACAATGGAAATAACAATGATCAGAGAATCTTGAAGGACATAGCCAATTGAGAAGCAACGTTTGTTTGGGTTTTGCAAGGGTGGAAAGAGAATTACAAATTACACTTATGAGAGGCAGGAAAACACTATTTCAGTTCGAATTATGAAATTTGCAATCAAATTTTACATTGATGCACTTTCTACTAAAAATTAAGTTGGGGAATAACTTCCCATAATAACTGTTAAAAGTTATGTTCACTAAAGGTTAGGTTAGCAATACAAATCAATCTATTTCGTACAATTTTTTGTCTCCGATGATAATAGGTTGATACTAACTGGAACTCTCTGCATTATTGATAAGAACGCTGTTTGTCGGAATGGTCCTTAACAGGAAGTTGAAACGATGCCGAAAAATTGCCTGTTTATCAACTGTCAATACCCTTGTCAAAACTTTCCACAAAAAACAACACAACTTACAAGGTACCTACCATTTCATCCGCCATTATGCAACCAAAGTTATCTGAAATTCGTGTTCCTGTCACACAGTCGTACATGAATTTAACACCCTAGAAAGGCACAATAATGGAAGAATTTACTGGCTATGTTGAATTTCGAAACAAAGTGATACTATCTTCAATATTACTAACCAAAAAATTATTTAGACCAGAAGGTATTCTCATCTTATATGTGCTGCTTTCTTAAATCGATTTGATAACCCTATAATTCGACTGCATTGATTTTCAAGTTTAGCTTGTTTCGTAACACTGAAATTGTTCTTCATTACCATCTCTGCTAAGGCCATCTTAGGCAAACATTCGATAATTCGATCAGATTTTGTTCTCCCTTGAACATTTCGTAAATGAACGCTGAATGTGCTGAACAAAGATATAAGCTAAAATGCATATTGTCATTTTCTTGCGTAGAATATTCCTTGTTAAATTTTGCTTGGAATGTATTGACAGATCCATAACAGTATTTAAACGCTTTTCAAACGCCATAAAAGATTGCAAACCTCGCGTTGATGTGGCCTAAGCACATTTGACAAAACAGGGTCCACCACAACTACGAATAAAAAACGGAAAATTCTCTTACACAGACGACAAGCGGTAAGCGAAATAGGTATTTACTAAAAAACCTTTTAAAAAGATCTATTTTGGTACAGCGAAATCGTTTAGCTATGGCAACAATAATTTAGTGACATTATTTTGTGTACTTCTCAAAAGTCTAAAAAATTTATTTATTGACTTCATTTGTACAAAATCTTCTTGGTGCGGCAAAGAAAACGGCTTCTACAAAATTTAAATAGAATGAACAGAAAAACTTGACGCTGAAAACTGCTTACTAACGAGCACAGTTGTCCTGCTAACCAACAAAGATGATTTCAATAGCTCATCTCGTCACATTATTAAACCTTTAAACGTTATCTAGGATCCAGGCCCTTAAGCCCTGATACTGTTAACACTTGCTTGCGACCCACTCCCTGATGGAGAAAAGTGTTACGTGGCTAACAAATCGCCGACAAAGTGAAACAGTGACAATTGCTCTATTCATCTGACTGCTTTCATTGAAAACAATAGAAACATGTTCGACTCACCATGAACTAGTTTTTGGTCTCTGTGGAGTAAAAAGGAGAACAAATTATATTACTAAATAAATTGGTACAATGCTTAATCAAAAATTGGAGCTTTGACTTGATGAGAAATGGGCAAATATAAAATATTCTTGAATTTTAGTCTTTAAAAGGGGAAAAAATTTGCATAAAGCAAACATAATCGGACCCAATGAATAAATGTTTGCTCAAATGCTAAATTTTTTCAAAATGGTGTGCTTAAAATTGCACGATTCAGTTAACAAACGCAGCTGACAGTTGATATCAAAATTCTTGACGCTCTGACAAATACTTAACCTAAGTTTAAAAATCTTATAAGGGCAAAAACTAAGGGTTTTTCGCTTCTATAAGAGCTTGTAAGAAATCAGAAGAACAATTAATTCATTAGCATTTATTCATTTCAGAAATTAACGCAGATATTTGGAAATTTGAAAAGTATCCTTGAAGTTGCATTTCCAATTTTGCTAAAGCAAATAACTATCCATTTACACTAGACAAAGTAATGTTTACACTTTAAAACACTTTATAGCATTTGCAAAATTTTTTTTGGTAATATTTCTATTTTTTTTTCTTTTAGGTTAACAAAGCTGTTTTGTAAATATTCTTAGTACAAAAGGTGCTGTGGTTGAATTAAACAAGACATTGTACAACAGGTCAAAAATATGTTGCATATATGATGTCTCGCTCAGCCCTCGAGGGTATCTCTCTACAGGGAAAAATTTTTGGTCTTTTTTCGAGTAAACAAGCATTCAATATTACTTCAGCAACTGATAAAAGCATAGGTGCAATAGAGGTAGTAGTTCTGAACTCTTTTCCCATTTCAAAAAAATAACCTTGAAACAGCATAAATTAAACGTTTAACATAAAGCGATAAAAGGAAGATGTCACAAAAGATAAAAAGACAGGAAATCACTTTGAAGGCCTTGATACTGACGGGACAGACAAGAAAGCATGGATCAAAGACATTTGGGTAGACAAAGAAGAAGATGAAGTTATGCTATCAGCTTTTCAAGCATTACCATTGTCTGACTAATATTGTCTGTAATAAGATTTTTAGGGCTTAAATTAAACCATTGATTCCATCGTCCCTGTTTAGACTCTATTTCAGTTTTTGTATTGGAATTGTCCAAACTACCCTACCTCAGACGTGTTTTTGGGTGCGAAAAATTGATAGAGACTAGTGCATATTTTCTATGATTCACCTTTCTATTGGCAGGTTTTTCAACCTCTCATTGTCTGCACTTAAAGGTAGTGTTCCCTTACAGATTCAGTTAAATGCACCATCATTAAAGCAAATGATGAAATGCAGACATGAAGACCGTTGCTCTGCAATTTTATTGGCTTAGACCAAGCTATGTGTGTCATGATTGGTTTAGACTAAGCTACACCCTTCCTTCCTCAAAGCATGCTACTTGAATGGATACTTTACTAACTGCAAGAAGAAACATCACTTACTCTGAGATATTTATTTGATCATGGGCAGAAATTTCAGGTGGGATGTAAAGAACAAGAGCTCCATCAGCAAATGGGTCATGCAAGCAGCATTTCAAAACTTTTCTTCGCATTCCTAGACTTTTTGACAGCCCAGATCCTTAAAAAATGAAGGATTAAAAAAATTTAACCATTTATATCTTAGTTTACCAAACGATCATATCGAGAAGGTGTTCTCCACATAATCCGTAAAATTAGAGGTCTCACACCTTCCCAAAAGAATCAACCTTTTTCTTAAAATCATCACAAACAATATTTTGGTGATACAAAAATTAAACAGGATTTTATAAAAGGGAAAATACTCGAGACATTCAAAAACCTTTTTGTCAAGCCTTCTTGTCTAAAACCTTCTAAAACATACTTTTTTTCTTGCTTTGTTTTTTGGTAGGTTAAACTTTCTTTCAAGTTTTTCTTCCAACAATAAAGGGAAACTTATGAATAACAATTAAAACAGTCTTACAAAAAGCAAAGCTTACAAAATTATACCTTGATAGCTAGCCATAGGAACTTTGAAAGGCTTTGATAAAATACTTCTAATAAGTGTCTCCTGAAAGCAAAATTGCTTAAGATAAAAACAGTGTTTAAAAAAAGATCTTTTCATAAAAAAGTATTTTCAGTTTTGTTCACTGATAATAAGTTACTGATTATTGTGAAAGTAGCTAGCGACATAACATATAAATCTCTATCTTAAAGCTAGGCTGGGCTTTGACACTAATTTGGGAACACCATGCATAAACAGATGTTAATGACACCGTCAACATAGTGGGCACCTGAAAAAAGGGACATCCTTTCCCAAGGTGTGTAATTTCAGGTCACTCCCAATGTATACCAACCTTGTTTTCCAAAGTGTAAAAATACAAAACATTTTTTGTTATTTCTTGTCTATCCTTGTTCATTGCAAAAGAAAGGCATGATTCAAAATCAAATATATTGAAGATAAATAATATGATGCTTGCTCCAACGGTTATATTCCAAACTTCCCATATTTTCTAATCTTTCACAAAAACATTGTTGTGACCTTTCTTATAATATAACATATGATATCATCATGAGGTTGCTCAGATGACTTAAAGCTACCTTAGCTAAAAACTCACATCTTTGATATTTCAAACTTTCAACAATAACTTGTGAATATTCATACACTGAACAACTTACATGACTGGAAACTTCAGTGGTCTCTGTATCATCTGATTTCTTTATAGGTGTGTTAATGGATGTTAATGGTTTGCGATAAACTGATATATAGAGAGAACTGTTGTGCACTGCCTTTTTATTAATCTGTAATGCAACATAGTTAATTATTAGCAAAAAATTAAGGAAACCTAAGAATACTTGAAAATCCAAAAAATTGCTTCAGATAAGCATGGATTCTACATTTAAGAACTGGAAAATAATTTGGCATAGTAACTTCTTTATTGAAAGATTGGTTCAGTAGGCATAACGAAAATTTTATGCTCTAACAAAACCCTCTGTTGAGTGTTTACAGGTAAAAAGTCGACAAAGAATGAAAATTGAGGAAAGTGACATTAAGGTGAATCCCATCTTTAGGCTTTCATAACTACTTTAATATAAATTAGGGTAAAAATCCTAGACAAAAATGTGTTAACTCATTATTCCTACTATATTTTTCATGTTTAGCTCTAGTTTTCATGGAACATAATTGTACATTAATAATAAATTATTCATTGAAAATATATCTTCACGCCAAACTAAATGTGGACATCAAAGACATAATTATATTACCTAACTGCTAAAACTAGATACATAATTACCCTTATTCAACACCTTGACATATATAAAATTTCAAGTATCCTCAGGAAGGATAACAACTAAACATTTTAAACACAGAGTTCCAACTTAGAATTGTTCTGTTCTACGTTCCAAAGTGTCATTATCTCTAAATAAGTTCAAGAAAATTTATTTTAGGTAAAACTTAACAAAATGATTCAAACTTTGACATACCATGCCATGAGATGAGTCGTGAGCTTTTAAACTAGATCTTTTCTTATCCTGACAATCTTCATTTTCACTCTCCTGCTTCCTCTTTCCAAAAAAACTTGGTGCAGAGCTCCTTCTCTGTGAAATCAGATTAATCCTTTAAACTAACAACGATAACATGCAAAGGATATTCTAGAGCTGATAAATGTAGCTGCATTGATAAGCGAAGCAAGTAAAGCACATATATAACAGTTTTTATAATATGAAAATAGGCAATGTGTGGCATTTCGCACATCTTGATTACTTTGCGTGTGCGATGGTGCAATGCGAACTGCTTTTTTATCAGCCGTTTCTCATTCCTGTTGTCAAGAACTATACGGTGCTGCTTTTAAGGAGACATTCTGTGTTAAAAACTGAACAGAAACCAACGCAATTGACGGAGTAACAGTTCTTGTCCTTCATTAAAGATGTTAGATTTAATTAGTTAATAAATTTTCCTAGAAGTAATTATAGAATCTTTTTGCAATCATTTAAAGATATCTGGGTTGAAAAAAAATTCAATTGCTCATAGAAATTACCACCCATTGTTGAGAAATTACCATGCAGCATCATTGACCTTGGTATCATCATTAACGTAGCATATATCATCGCGGATATCTTACGTAGCGTATATTATCTTACCATTCTTATCAAAATATCATTATCAAGTGGGATGAAAGTATAAGACTAATCATGAAAAAAATCTAGAAAAATTTGATCTTGCTTTCAAGGGCAAGGTTGCTAATGATTACAAATTCTAGATACACAATCGGAAAGATCAGTTTCACAGGAATGTTTATATCATGGTGGCCTCTTCCATATTGTCTTCCAAGGTCTTCTTGCAGGCTATTCAACTTTGTTCCTTACCAATAAGGTTGGAAACTTTGCCTGGGACCTGCCTGCCAATTTTTCCCATCCCAGTCAGTATGGGATTCAGTTTTATGAACAATCAGATTGACTTTCTCCTAACAGATTTTAAGTTGATAGGGAGAGAGTAAACAATGAAATCATAATAAGAACGATCCCTATGAAAATGGAATTTATACGTTTTTGAATATTACTTTGTTTTTTATCGTGAAAGTAAGAACAACAATAAAAAGCACAAGTCACTTCACAAGACAAGCCTCACCATTCTCGATCCGCAGTTTTTTGCTTCAAGTGCAGGATTTTTAAGTAAGATATCGGCCAGCAGGTTCCATGAGTTCAACAGGTTTTGAATTAAGCCGTTGAAAATATCCTGATGCCATGCATTCGGGTGCAATTACCGAATGACTGCTTTGAAGTAGGCCATATATTTACCGCGCTTTTTCGATTGGTGTGAAGAAATGCCCGGATACTTCATGTAAAACTAAACTGAAAAATTAACGGTTGTGGCATATGTGGCAGGGATAAAAGAACACTAGAATGATTCGATACTGTCGAGTCTGCTTTGAGATCTTCTGGTCTTATAAAACTTAGAAATTTTTAAAACCTCAAGCATGAACAGTGATTCTTCGTTCAGTATCTCTTTTTAAGGACTGCGTGAAGTATAAGTGTCCTAAGAAAGACCTATTCTCTTGCCCGCGTGCAGATATTGAAGAGGAAATACGCAGGCTACCTATTTTCAGAATTTATTTGTTTCATCAAACAAATCAATATCGATTAAGGTTTTGTTTGTATTTGTGTTTCTGCTTGTTACTCTCTTAGTGTCCGAAGGTACATAACTTTTTGGAACTGCTTATCAAGCAGTGCCCAGATAACCAGGTCTTTCCTCTTAGGCAACTTTCCTCTTACACGAGACCGGTTCCATTTGGAATCGAGTGCTAAATGAGCACAGTTAGGCCTTCCGTTTACACGGGACCCGTCGGAGCCGTTCGAAATGGAACTGCTAGCCGTACTAATACGGGATCGCTTAACAAATGTTCCATTTGGAACATCTGAAAACCAACACAGATAGAATATTTAAGCAGTTACGTGATAATGCTCTAGAATTCTGATATCCAATCCAAAATAATTGCAAAAAACAATGGATATAAAGACCTTTAATATTGATCTAGCTTTATGCCGACAGTTGAAAATACTTTTATCATCTTGTGATTTGCAGAACTGTACGTTAATAGAGCCAATGTGATCTAGCTAAAAATAAAGGACCAGATAGATATGCCAAAACAAACTCGGATGGATTCTGTTAAGACTGGACAAAAGAGACAGAAGGAAGTTTGCAAGTTTTTCTAAAACAGTGCTTTCTTAGCGTCCTGTTCAGGTCGTTGATACACTTTGTAGAAGAAGAGATCCTGTTTATCTGGTAGCTTTTCAGACCAAACGGAAACTCGTTGATTCGAATTGTAAATAGAGGAGGTCTAGGACAAGAGCCCTGTGGAACACCAAAATGTAATTCTGCCATTCGTGACGTAACACAGTTCAACGCAGCAAACTTTGAACTCCAGGGCTTAAAGAAAGACCTGAAACAACCCAACTTTATTTCTACTTTCAAACTGGAAATAGATCTTATAGTTCCTTCATTAGGCGGTCGGAAGTCTTTTAACCCTATCCAGACTAGTGTTATACAACTTGTTTTGTCTGTCGTGCATCGTGTTTGTGGTTCGTTATTGTTAATGAGAATGTCTTCCCATGTTTGCGTCAGTCATTTTGTTTGTCATCGTGCCATCTCTATTTTAGTTGTTATTAGTCCATTTGCCGTTAATTTGTGTCATTAGGGTTTTGTGTGCGTCACTCATTTTGTTAAAAGCGTATGTTCTTTGAGTGCAAGTCCAGTCGAGTCGAAGTTGTCGTTGAAAGAAGTCGTTATGTTGTAATCGTTGGTTGCCAGTAATTTATACTATCCCTGCTGAAGAATCTTGGTTTAAAAAAAAAACGTTATTTTACATTGGTGACCACGACGTGACGAATTCGCAGAAAAAAAATGGAAATGATTTCAACAGAACAATTCAGAGAAATTCTGTTGGATATTATAAAGACCGTTGTATCTCACATGGCCGAAAGGGTGAGGTTGGCAGAGGAGAATGGGAGAAATTTCTTCGTGAATCGAACTAATGTCTATCGTGCTGAAGATGGCCAGCCCATTTGCTATTGTTGTTTGCGCGTTGGTCACGTTGCCAAATATTGTAGGGACAGGAAATTTTCTTTAGCATCCCAGGAGAAGTGTGATCAAAATGAACCTGTGATTGTTGCCTCGGTAGCTGAAGAGCGACCTCGGGTTACCTTTATTGGCAACATCAAAAGAAATGAGCCACACTTTCAAGATCTTCAAACTCGAGTTAAGAAATTGGAGGAGATTGTCAATGAATTGGAGTCACATAAACTATCACGACCAATGGTGACGCGACTGCTTTCTTCAAAACCAATGGAAGTTGACGAGGATTTATTAGCCACAACATATGAAAAAAATTTGATTGACACTAAAAGAAGAGAAGGACCTTTACGTGTACATAATGTTGTTATAGCCTCGGGTAGAGAACCGTATGGACGGAATAAACTTGGACAGGGACATTATTTCTTAGATGGTACTTGATTTACTCATTTCAGTAAAATTATTTGATTTGATTCTTCGTGCTGCCTTATAATACTTTTATGTTTCTTCCCCTTCGAGAGATCAAGCCAGGAGGCTTGTCTTTCAAAGGGGGGAGTAATGTTATACAACTTGTTTTGTCTGTCGTGCATCGTGTTTGTGGTTCGTTATTGTTAATGAGAATGTCTTCCCATGTTTGCGTCAGTCATTTTGTTTGTCATCGTGCCATCTCTATTTTAGTTGCTATTAGTCCATTTGCCGTTAATTTGTGTCATTAGGGTTTTGTGTGCGTCACTCATGTTGTTAAAAGCGTATGTTCTTTGAGTGCAAGTCCAGTCGAGTCGAAGTTGTCGTTGAAAGAAGTCGTTATGTTGTAATCGTTGGTTGCTACTAATTTATACATTCATTATTGAAGAATCTTGATTTAAAAAAAAAACGTTATTTCACACTAGGCTTTTTGAAACTTTCGGGAGACTAGGGGGGCACAAAGTGCCCCCCTCCGTAATTTCTTTGTCCCTCTAGCTAGGACAATGAACTTTGTTTGGATGGTACTCTTATCTCTTCTCTACATTTTAGTATTATTGTTCAATTTTTAAGTCACGTGGTTTTACGATGACGTCATCATAATGGTGGCCGGGTGAAGCAAAAATTTAGAAAATTTTAGAAAATTTTAAAATATTCATTAATTCCAAAGCATCGGGCTAAGATATTAAAATAAGCAAATTTGATGCATTTTCTAATAGAAACAAGAAGATTGACACAATTTTAATGTTACTTCTCAAAATTATTAACGTTCTTAACAAAAGAACTCAACATATTATGTATTTGGCTTTAGTTTTTTCTATATAACTAAATGATCGATACAACCAAATGTCATGTTTGAGTTCATTTTTAATGCCTTAGCAGACAAATTATTCTAAACTTGCAGTTTTATTAATGTAATACCTATAAATATGTCAACAAATGTGTGCGCATGCGCAGCAGAAAAATCATAGAAAAGGATTTTGAATTTGAATTTTCTGGTCAGAATCATAAAAAGAGCACAAATTAATGCCTAATACTAATTTTCATCAATATATCTACTTTTGTTGCGAATCCGTGGCAGATTGAACTATTTTTTACTTGACTAGTTTTGAAAACGCCCCTACACAACCCCCTGATTAATAATAAAAAAATTATCTTTTTATATGAACATGTGTCAGATAGGTTAAAACTAAAAGTCAGCAGGTCTGAGGGGTATTGCTTTGAAACTCCTGAAGTTATGAAAGAAAAACCAACTAGGGGGGCACTTTGTGCCCCCCCCTAGTCTGGATAGGATTAAAAAAATCCAATAGCTGGAAATGAAAAAAAGTGCTGTTCTGCTATGCTGATGACTTTATATAAAACAGAAGCAGTTAGCAGCAGCACCCGAGTAAAGGAAAAATTGTTAGGTTTCAGTTCCGAGCAAATCCTATAAAACAAAGTTCTAACTTGGGCATTCCTCTATATATCAGGATGACACCAGAACCTATATGTTTTACAAAATCTAAACACGGATGTATTTCGATAATACTGTACTGTTTTGGAATGCAAAAATGAAAAAAAGTTGACCTATTCTAACACAGCAGATAGTTCAAATTGAAATGCCATTGACAAAAATGAGGGACCTTTCCTAAGTGTCCCCACCTGAAGTCGAGTGTACTGTTTATATGACTTGTTGTATATGACATATGGCCAAAACGAGAAATGGGCCTATCTAGTTGGCTCCAGCGAATCTGCTTATATATTAGTCTTTAAAGATTCTGGGGAAAAAGAAAAGAAATAAGTAATAATAACACGGACATTTGCAGTTGCAACTTCAAAACTTTTTAACCTGGGGTAATGCCATTTAAAGCGGAAAAATTGGATTTATCGGCAAAAAATCACGAAGGTTTTGACAAGGATAAAACAAGATTCCACCACTAACATTTCACCTTTCTAACTAAACTGCTAAAATGTTTAATTCAGAGCTGGCCATTACCGTACACTGGGCATTGAATTCATCAAAAACCCTTTACCGCCGATTTTTTCATTACCGAAATACCGCCCAATTTGAGAAAGATTACCGAATTACCGAAAGAGGTTAAGGCCAATACCGCAATACCGTTAACCCCAAAGACCCCCCTATTCAAGCAACTCAAAATTAACATCCCTTCAAATGTTTTTTAAAGTCGTAGCTAAAAAGTTTGACAGTTGGCTTGGCTTTCAATGTGCCCCAAAAAGAAAAGAAACCCTATCAACTCTACGGTTAAGCAGCGAATCAAATACCCCCAAAGAGTCTGACGAAGTTGTTGAAGGAATCCAGCTCTGTGATTAATATTTGAACTCATAAGGTATCTAGCACTCTGGCACTTCAAGGTTTAACCGCTATCTCGTGTAAACATTTAGATGTCATTTTACAGAAGCAGTCCTGGTGCTCAGATTTAAATCGGTATAAATTCCTTATGTTTGCTAGGCCGCCTAATGTATAACCCCGCCCGTATGTGACATTTAGCGAACGACATTTCCTTTGCGCGTAGCCTATTTTGGAATTATCTCCTTCAAAACAATTGCTCGGCCGCTTCAATTCTTCCATGCTAGGTTATCAAGTAAAGGCAAATCTCTAAGTCACCTTACCGCTTGGAGAACTTTTGGACAACTTGTTTGTTTATAATGGAGAAATTTACATACATGACAGGGAAACAAGCCGCCATTTCGATATAGTGGCTAATGGAATAATATGTTTTCTCTGACCGGCACGAGCGTATCATATATAAAAAATGGTAGCCTTATCGGGTCGGGTTAAATTTGAAGGCCAGGTTTGTGGTGAAATTCT